ATCCTCTTCCCATTGAATTTTCTAGGCAAGAATACTGGCTGCTGCTGCTAAGTCACTTCAGTCGTGTCCAACTCTGTACGACCCCATAGACGGCAGCCCACCAGGCTCCCCCGTCCCTAGGATTCTCCAGGCAAGAACACTGGAGTGGGTTGCCATTTCCTTCTCCAAGGCAAGAAAGTGAATAGTGAAAGTGAAGTCTCATAGTCAAGTCCAACTCTTGGCGATCCCATGGACTGCAGCCTACCAGGCTCCTCCGTCCATGGGATTTTCCAGGAAAGAGTACTGGAGTGGGGTGCCATTGCCTTCTCTAATGCATCTTCCCAACACAGGGATCCAACCCAGATCTACACTACAGGAAGATTCTTTACCAGGTGAGCCACCAGATGTTTTGTATTCCTTTTATGGCTGAGTAATATTCCATTGTGTATATACCTTATTTTCTTAATCCTTTCATCTGGATAGGCATCTAGGTTACTTCCATATCTTGGCTATTATAAATAATGCTGCTATGAATATTGGGTGCCTGTATCTTTTAAAGTTAGTGTTTTAATTTTCTTTGGATATATACCCAAGATTGAGATGACTGGGTCATATGGTGATTCTAGTTTTAGCTTTTGAGTAAACTCCATACTGTATTTCATAGTGGCTACCTCAATTCACATTACCAGCAACAATATGCTAGGGCTCCCTTTTCTCTACACCCTCATCAACATTTGTTATTTGTTTTCAAATACTGGTGCCAAGAAAACTGGATAGCTACATATAGAAGAATGAAATTAGAATGTTTTCTCACACTAAATACACATTTAAATTCAAAATGAATTCAAGACCTAAATGTAAGACCNGGCTTGGGAAGTTTTCAATAATTTAATCAAATACATTTTCAAGCCCTTTTTTCTTTCTCTTCTTCTGGGATCCCTATAGTATGAATGTTGGTACACTTGATTAACTCACTTGAATAAATCTACAATGACAGTAAAGGAAGACATCTTACAACACATATTATAATACCCATATTCATCAGTAATTTTTCTGAGACTGAAGGTATCATAAAACATTTCTGGTTTATATTTATTCAGAAGTGTGACTTTGTGCAGTTGAAGTCTCTAGCATATTAGAGGAGAGAGGCTATATGTTTCCTCCTTCCAACCAAAATTTGAATGAGCTAAGATTTCCATTGATGTAAGATCAACATTTGCATTTATTATATTAAAAAATATTCTATTCTCTGACTTGCACATTTTCTTAGGTTAATTTTATGTTTGTCAAGACAAGAGATCACAGATTTTTGCAGTTGAAAGAAACATCACTCATCCTCTTATAGAAAAGTTAAATGCTTCCAAGTTGCCTAACTATTTAGTAGGGACAAAATAAAAAGACCAAGAACTAAAACTCATGTCAGAATCTTTGAACCCCAAACTTTTCATTGTATTTTATAGAGTATGAGTTTTGCTAGTTCAAAAAAAGGAATATTAAGTAGTCCTCATGGTGCATCGTTTGAGATGATAGCTAATGTCAATGTTTATACTGCATTTTTAGAATTTCTGATTAAAGTTCAGAGCCTATTCCTGCTTCAGAACAGGCTAGTTTCAAATTAAATCATAGATGTTTGATTGGGGAAAGCGTACGTAACTACTTGACACTTTTTAAATACAACATTTTCCTTTCCTAAAGCAATCTTCTGGTACAAATGTAGCTGAATCTGCTACAACTGTTTAAGGCTAGAATTTATTAGACTTAGGAACCCTTTCATTACCTCCCAGGAGGCCACTGAGGTTGCTAGTAATTGTAGAGAACAGATTTACCCTGGATCAAAATTTGGATGTACTTAAAATTCATTGTAAAACGATACTGCGTTTTAGAGGTTGAGGGACTCTAACTGCTAAATCTGGTTAATTATAATAGCCCACAGTCTTCCCAAGTTATCCTACAATTAACATCTCTTTATTGGCTTTGCAAGTACTGGATGGTAAAATTATGTTTATTTTGTCATCGCTTTGCAGAGGCAGAAGGGTGTTGCCCTTATGCCAAAGTTTAGTTTGAATGTTGAGATTGGTGACAACAGATTATGCTAAGAGGGTTTAAAAAAGTTTATTAATCTCCCAGGCGGGCGTCTGAGGGAGAATAGAACAGGCTCCCAAATAGGTTCAGAAATGGCCTGAGAAGTGAGAGAATAGCACTGAAACATGTATATTCTCATATGTGAAATAGATCACCAGCCCAGGTTCGATGCATGAGACAGGATACTCAGGGCTGTTCCACTGGGATGACCCTGAGGGATGGGATGGTGAGGGAGGTGGGAGGGGGGTTCAGGATGGGGAACACATGTACACCCATGGCTAATTCATGTCAACGTATGACAAAAACCACTAAAATACTGTAATTAGCCTCCAATTAAAATAAATAATTTTTAAAAAAAAATAAATGAAAAAGAAAAAAATTTTTTTAAAAATAAAAAAGAAAGAAATGGCCTGAGAGAACAGAAATAGGAGATTGGCTTCCTTTTTATTATAACTATGATGTAAAGCTGAGCTGAGGTTTCCTGCGTGTGTCACAGGCCTTGATTGGTTTGAACGTCCCATCAGGGCCAAAGGAGTAGCACTTTCTTATCAGCTTGCCTAGATGTGGGACAGAAGAGGAAGGGGTCACCAGTGGGACTTCAAATGTGCCTGCAGACAAGCGTCAAAAATGGAATCAGACTATATCAATTTCATAACTTTTAAGTGACGCAATACATTTAGTACTAGCTGTGCTAGTATGACTAGTAAGATGTAAAGAACTTATGGGTAAGTACATTCTTTACCAATTCTGGCTAACCATATAAGAAGTACCAGGATATATTCTTGGTTCTTTTTCACAAGACTCTGAGGCAGAGAGCAGTGTCATCCTTAGACAGGGGCGGGTTGGCTCCTGCCCCAGCCCTGTGCTTTAAAGTGCCTTCCTCTTTGAGTCCCTCCTGGCACCTTGGATTGCCTTCGATCAGCAGTGCTGTCTATGCAGCAAATCCCAGCTTAGTCCAGGGCCCATGTGTTAGGATACTCTCCAGACCCTCTATCTCAACTCGTAAAATGATTAGCTGTCCTAAGAACTTTTGCATCTTGTCTGGTTGCCAATATTCTTTTCTTGGAGTTATGAATGTATGGATAACTAAAATGATGCTGACCTACTGAATTTCAGTGATATGGTTTTTTACTCATGTCGGATCAAGGGACAGGAAGCTCATCATTCTGGGCTAGTGGTTGTCCACTTCTCCATGTAGGCCTTGAGCTGTTCCTGCAGGCTCAAGGTCTCCATCCTCTATGTTCATCGGTATTGCCTGGTGAGCAGCATCTGAGAGTGGCAGAGGTGGAAGTAAGTGTCCTATACCCCCTGTGGCTGGCACCCAGGGGGATTACCCTCCCCCTCCTGCAGGCTCTACGCCGCTTACAAATCATTCTCCTGGAGTGGACTTGTCTGTCTCCTTTGAGGATTTCTGAAACCTCAGTGCTACAATGTCAGTGGGCCCTTTTTTTATCTCTAATCCATTTGGTGACACTGGGAGTGGTAAGTCTTGCCAGATACAGATGAAAGACAGACTTTCCCTGATTAAATGTGGCCACTTGACTCTCCTGTTACCTCTCTTTCCCTCTGGTGGCAGTGTGTGGAAGGCAGGGTGGTAAGCAGTGAAAAAGATCATATTCTTCGAATGTAGTGGTTATGGCTAAAGAGTTTAAGAGAAGACATGGTTGGAACATGTCTTCTCCTGCCTTTTGGCTATAAAATTCTAAATGGCAAATTTAACAACAGAAAACTAACTTTTCTGTTCTCCTATATACTCTGAGTAAGATTTGCATTTGTGGTTTCATCAAAAAAAAAAATCAGTAGCAACCTTTGAACAGACCTTGGAAGCCAATATCCAAGGGTGGCATGATGAAATGAGGGCATCTCATGATTAGGGATATTACTGGTGTTAGCTAGATGGTTTGAATTGCTTGCAAAAGCAAGGGAATTCATTTTTTTTTCAAGACAGTTTCCTAAAGCTGTGGCTTCTTGAGTCAATAGCATTGCTATCTTTTTCTTGTGGTGGTAGATATGAAATTAGTTGGAAATAACACATTGAATAGTTAAAAAGTGAAAAAATGAAGAAATGGTTTCTGGACTTAAACAGAATGACATGGCTGCTATACTCTAGAAAGAATCTCCATATGCACTGACTAGACAATAAGCAAATACATAAGTACTACTCTCTATTATTCTATAATAAATCTCTATGCCTCACAAGTACCTGCTGCTGCTGCTAAGTCGCTTCAGTCATGTCTGACTCTGTGTGACCCCATAGATGGCAGCCCACCAGGCTCCACCATCGCTGGGACTCTCCAGGCAAGAACACTGGAGTGGGTTGCCATTTCCTTCTCCAATGCATGAAAGTGAAAAGTGAAAGGGAAGTCGCTCAGTCGTGTCTGACTCTTTGCGACCCCATGGACTGCAGCCTACCAGGCTCCTCCGTCCATGGGACTTCCAGGCAAGAGTGCTGGAGTGAGTTGCCATTGCCTTCTCCGAAGTACCTGCTGAAACTGCAAAAGTATTTTTCTAGGACCCCCCTGTACCTTAGAGATAATTCTAGGATGCAACTTCTAGCAAGAGAATTTGCTTTAGCAGCTCTGTAACAACCTAGAGGGGTGGAATGGGGAGGGAAATGAGAGGGAGGCTCAAGAGGGAGGAGACATATGTATACCTAGCTGATTCATGTTGATGTTTGGCAGAAACTAACAAAATCCTCTAAAGCAATTATCCTTCAATTAAAACATAAATAAATAAATTTTTAAAAAGAGAATGTGGTTTATAAACTAGTAAGTCTATGTTGTCAATACAAAAAAGAGGAAGAGAGAAGTTATCTATTCCTGCTTACTAAAATAATATAAAGTGAGAAGTTAGTAAAATATAAGTGATATCAAAATTTTAGTATCCCTTCAGTGGCAGCAGGGTGAAGCCCATTGTGAAATGGACACCAGAATGCTTACCTTCATGTATCAAGCAGGAAGAATAACAAAATTGATAGGTGATATATGTGTACAAACTTTCAGAGTCCTCATTTCTCAAGGGTCATGCTGAAAGGAAAAGATGGTATACAAGATTTATCTTCAACTCCAATGTCTTTTATTTATCACTTTTTCATAGTCTTGCATAATTTCCATGAAAAATAATTCTGCACTTTTTAACTAGGATATTTACAAGATTTTTAAACATCATTTTACTCTGTCATTCAAGAATTTTGTGCTTTGATCCAGATGATACAAATGGCATGGTTCCTAGAGAGAAAAAATAATTTTAAAAATCAATAAGAGATGCACTGTTTACTGGTAGATAAAAAATGGTCTGAGACATTGATATCTTTATTCTTTCAATTCTTGTTTCCTGGAATTTTTTCTTTCTAGTATTTCTATGTAAAACTAACATCAAGAGAGTAAATAGCTAATATTAGAGGATTATTCCTTATTATTATAATTGCAGATTAAAGGAATAGAATAAATATATTCTTAATTATGCTCATTATCATCAGCATTATTAATCCTCGTGTTTTATTATAGTAGTATTTCTTGTAGTATTTTTTTGCTGTTGTAGTCATTATTATGGTGGTGCTGCTATTTTTTTTGGTTGTTTGTTGTAGTGGTGCGTCATAAAAAAAGAATCGCACCATGATGACAGATTATGAAGCTAGTTGAAAAAAATTAAAGATCATAAAATCATTGTCTGATTGCTTAACCTTCTTTAAAAGAAAAAACTAAAACACATATATCATATTTTGTGATATGTATAGTATATATCACATATATCACAGTGATGCTGCTTAAATTAGCCCAGAAAGAACATCTTACTATATATTTAGAAGAATAAAAATACTTTTATTACACTTGTCATATGCTTCCCTACTGGCTCAGATGGTAAAGAATCTTCCTGCAAGGCAGGAGAGCCAGTTCAATCCCTGGATCAGGAAGATCCTCAAGAAGAGAATGGCAACCCACTCTAGTATTATTGCCTGGAGAATTCCATGGACTTAGGAGCCTGGCTGGCCACAGTCCATGGGGTCACAAAGAGTCAGACACGACTGAGAGATTTTCACTTCATATGTATTCATTATGCAAAAATTAGGGGGGAAAAAACACGTAAACAAAACCAAATTTAAACCAGCCAAATCTTTTCACAACCCATTTTGTAATGCTATACCTATTATGCATGTGTATTTGATGAATAGACACATATTTATTTTGTATATTTCATTTGAGGTTGTACAACTGACATTCTTACTCATTACATTAACATCTTTCCATGTAAATTATATGTATCACCGGTATCTTACATGATCATCTTCAATGGTTTATAGAGTCACCCTGTATAGGTGTGGTAGTATTGTTCTTCAGTCACTAAGTCATGCCTGACTGTTTGTGACCCTGTGACTGCAGCACGCCAGGCTTCCCTGTCCTTCACTATCTCCTGGAGTTTGCTCAGATTCATATCCATTGAGTTGGTGATATTATCTAACCATCTGATCCTCTGCCGCCCTCTTCTGCTTTTGCCTTTTATCTTTCAGAGCGTTTGAGTCTTTTCCAATGAGTTGGTTCTTCACATCAGGTGGCCAAAGTATTGAATCTTCAACATCAGTCCTTCCAATGAATATTCAGGGTAGATTTCCTTTACGATTGACCGGTTTGATCTCCTTGCTGTCCAGGGGACTTTCAAGAGTCTTCTCCAGCATCATAGGTTTGAAATCATAAGTTCTTCAGTGCTCAGCCTTCTTTACAGTCCAACTTTCACTTCTGTACATGACTACTGGAAAATCCCTAGCTTTTAGTATATGGATCTTAGTCCTCAAAGTGATGTCTCAGCTTCTTAATATGCTGTCTAGGTTTGTCATAACTTTTCTTCCAGGGAGCAAGCATCTTTGAATTTTATGGCTGCAGTCACTGTCCACAGTGATTTCGGAGTCCAAGAAAATCTGTCACTGCTTCCACTTATTCTCCTTTATTTGACATGAAGTTAAGGAACTGGATGCCATGATCTTAGTTTTTTGTATGTTGAATTCTAAGCCAGCTTTTTCACTATCCTTCTTCACCCTCATCAAGAGTCTCTTTAGTTCCTCTTTGCTTTCCGCCATTAGAATGGTATCATTTGCATGTCTGAGGCTGTTGACATTTCTCCCGGCAATCTTGATTGTACACCTGTATATATGTACTATAACTTAATTATTTCCTTTTTCTGGGAAATTTGGATTATTGCCAAATAGCCCTGCACTAAAGATCATGAAAATTTATCTGTGTTCACTTGTTTGATCTTTCCTTATGATAAATTCATATAAAATAATTTATTGGGTCAAGGGGTAAAACATTTTGAAGACTATTGGCACATATCACTACATTGTCCTCCATAAATATTGTTTTCTGGGTTCTTATTCGGTTGAGAGATATGATTCTTGTATGCTTAACTTACCATTTTGTTTTGTGATTGAAGCTATTTTATGATAAGCTATTTTATGTTCTAGATTTCTCACTGATTCTTTGATTTTGACTTCCAAATTTTAATATATAAGTTCCTTCGTTATTTTTCATGCTATTATCTGTAAATAAATACTAATTTATACAAAGAAAGGAAATCTGCATTAAATAATGTATTAAAAATTAAACACTTTTGAAGTGATAATTCAAGTTAATTTAATTTGTAAGTATTAAAAGTGTCTTTGGAAAAAGCTTTTATTAATAATATTCTACATTTTTCCAATTGAATTTGTAACAGCTAGTGTTTGTAACTTTCATTCAGAAAAAGACTTGAGAGTGGATATCCAACTTTTATCAAGGTTTACATTTAAAAATTCTCTATTAAGTTTTTAAATATTGACAGTAAAATATTCTAGATTTAACCAGTTCAGTCTTCTGAACCATCATCTAAGAATTAAGTGTCAAGGGCTTAATATTACTGAAAAGATAATTTTCTGATTCTGTTGGAGCTCATAATTTATTATTCAGTTAAACAACAAGAAACTGACATGCATATTTTTAACAGTCAAATATTTTTGAAAATCAATGAAAACAAAATGAGCAGATTTGAAGTTTCAGCACCATCTGTTCAGAGATCTGCTTCTGTAACATGCTTCAAAACTAAATTACTAAATAATGGTTCAAAGATATTCAAATTCTGGGACTTCCACTACTGGTTTTAGCTTTTTCCATTCTCAGAAGCATTTTCTAAGAAATTAGGTTACTAGGAATTACTAAGAATGGCTCAGGTTTACTGCTGGTATTTTGGGTTGAAGCAACTTTTCCTCAATAAGAACAAATTACAGTTCTGCCTAATATGTGTCTTATGACAGAATATTGATAAGGTTTTTCAATAAACATATTTGGGGGAAAATTAGATGCCTGGAACAAGCAATATTTAAACCAACCAGATAAATCCAGGACTTATGGTTATCTTGTGTGTCTGGTTTCAACTTTTCACATCTGAGTCAGTTAGCAACAGGATAGTTCAAGATTCTTTAACCAAGACGTCTGCTGGTCCTCTTTAGCTTATCAATAGACGCAGAATGAGAGGGGGTCATGAACTTCAGGTTGCTTCTTATCCTTCCCTGGGCACTCACACAAGTGAGTATGTGCACACAGATATGCACAGATGCACACACAGGCTCTACCAGGCAGGTCCTGTACATCTTGTTCAAGTGTCTCTAAAAGGGCATGATGATGCTTTTGCTGCCTTGAGAGAGGGCAACAGAGAGTGTGCTAATTAAAGCACATAGGAAAGACATATATGAATTGGCCCACATGATATTAGTTTTTAAAGATGGCAAACCTAAGTGAAATTGGTTAACAGACTTATACAAATGCAACCTTTGCAATATTTTACTGGTGATTTTGAATTTTATTAAAAGCATCATCAGTGGATGAGGGCTCAGGAGATCATTAAATGTGGTGGTTTAGTCAGTAAGTCATGTCCAACTCTTGCAACTCCGTAGACTATAGCCTGCCAGGCCCCTCTGACTGTGGGATATTCCAGGCAAGAATACTGAAGTGGTTTGTCATTTCAAGAAATTTTATCTAATGGATATGAATTTGTTAGGTAGTTAGAATAGGAAAAAGGAGTCCAAAAGAAAAGCCCATGAAAATAGAACAAAGGAAGTTCTGAGGACCAGAGTGAGGACCTCAGGTAAAACAACAGCACTCCTGGTTAGCCCAATGTACATAAGGCAGGCCCAAGGGGAGTAGAAAAAATATATAAAAAGAGGAGCCAAAGGGCCAGGGGTCTCTATCTCTCTCTCTCTCTCTCTCCTCTTCATGTCTTTTGGGTTCAGCATGCCCTCACGCCTCGAGAATGTATTTTCCTTTATTTTCTAAATAAAACTGAGCTGTAACATGGACCTGTAACACTGATCCGTCCAGAGCTGTGACACTGGTCTGTTCAAGAGCTCTAACAGTGGCCCACCTGAGGGCTGTAACGCTGTCCCATCGCTTCAAATTTCTGTTGTGACGAGATAGAACTGAGGAAATTACACACTCCCCCAACAAGTTGAAAGTTTTACAAAATTATTTCAAGATAGATACACAAACACATGTAAACATTTAAGTTTGTAACCTTCCTTCAAGCTTATTTCAAATAACTTAGAAGTATATTAAATCATTCTGACTGCATAAGAGGATGCAAAATAAGAAAAGTAATTACTGCAGATTAAATAATGGCATATGATTCATTCCCATGAATTTTGAGTGAGGCACTCTAAAATTTGTATGCAAAAGACTTTGTATGTGTTAAATTTTCATTTGCACTGGTGACAGCAAAGGTGGTTGCCAGTTCATGAGCATATTCTAGGTAATTTCCCGAATGATACACTTCTAATTACAACACTTTGTTAAATCATGCTGTACTTGGTCTCATGGCACTCCTGCTCTGCTGGTGGCGTCAGCTTGAATTACTTCATTTGCAAATGTAAGGCAGCTGTTTTATTAATGGGAACTCCTTCTGTGACACGCTAAGAGGGGGGAAAAATGACTCACAAAAGAAGTAAAATTGCATGACAAAATATTTGGACAGAGTGAAGAATAGAAAAGTAAAGGTATAATAGGAA